GTCGAGATCATCACAACAATGGACGTGGACCATTCGGTGGTCGAGACCATCACAACAATGGACGTGGACCATTCGGTGGTCGAGACCATGACAACAATGGACGTGGACCATTCGGTGGTCGAGACCATGACAACAATGGACGTGGACCATTCGGTGGTCCAGGCAATAGACATCCATAACGCTCCAATTAAGGTAAATAGAATTCATTTGTCAACTACTATACATGCATCTATATGTTTTATCTAGCTGAATTCAATGGACATCATAACCAATCGATCGAAAAAAAACAAGAACAATCATATAATCGAAAATAGACTTTATTTAACATGTTAACATCCTTTTTTATTCATGTAGTCAAATATAAAATAAGAAGACTTATCTACTTTTAAAATAAATACAAAAAAAAATATCTTCAAACATAAAGACATCTTTGTAGAAAATAATAGTAATCATATGACATAAGATATTGACTTCATTGATGTTTGATATTCAAAATCTTTATTTCTTGTATGAATATTAATACAATTCACAAACATACTTACACAAGGGTATATACCAGGGTATTCTGCTACTGTACATTTATACTCATATGAAGTCATTCTGTCAGCATTCCATGTTTTACTTTTTCAATGATAAATCGTTAACGATCCATCACCATAATATTTTAGAAAATAAAAATAATATTGAAGAATATTTATTCTATACCTCTTGCCTTGAAATGTATATTTACCGTCTTGGATAGAATCTGCACAAAATTGAATAATATTATCATATACAACACTATGATCAGATGTATTTGTATATGATATAATAGACAATTACACTTGTTGAAGAGTATGTGATTATAAAATATATTGTTTTAAACATTCCTAATCTACTAAATCATTTATTGGTTCATATAGATATATTGACCTATTAATGTTTTGAGTATGAATAAAGTCAATATTTAAATCATTGAAATCAACATGATATCTTAGTTCTAATAGAACAATATCATTTTTATAAGTTTCATCCGTTAGTTTACCATATAAAATAACAGATTTAATTGTAGAACGGATTGAATTTCTATTATTTTTATGTTGAAGAGTAACAACAACTGTATGATTTGAAATTTATGATGATTTAATAGTATGAAAAAAAATGAGCAGATTTTAATAGATATTTCGTATTGCTCTTGAGAAAGTACTGAGTTCAGGGTACCCATATACTGAAAAAAATGTCAGCTGGATACCAGATGCGGATAGTTTGAAAACTTTCAGTAATAATACTGATGCAGATACTTTCTTAGGTACCTATGCCAGTATATATACTGATCGAGTACTTATGAAAGTACCCGCATATGTAAATTTACTGAGCCAAACTCACTAGGATTCCCTGCTTTTCTGTTTTCTTTATGAACGCGCTGGAAAAACACATTAATGCACTAAAGAGAGGGTCCACGAGCGGACCGCCAACATGGCCATTTGACAAATTTAAAAAGTGCGATATTTTGGCATAAAATGAAAGATCATGTTTCAAAACCTACAAATCCAAAATTTCAGCTCATTCTAGTTTTGTCTTGAAAAGTTATAGAAATAACTCTGGTAATATGTTTCGATGGTTTGGGCCAAAATATCGAAATTTGCATTCTCGAGGTGTTTCGTCAATTTCTTCTCAACGCTTACAGGTATCTTTTATTGTAATATCTCAAAAGATAGAGAATTTTTCACTCTATCGAATCGTGTATAACGACATTCTCTCCATGCCTTCTGAGTCCCACTGAATCTCAATATATTATATGACAGACCGCTCAAAAATCGAGTCCGATGGCACTATTTTAACCAAAAGGGTATCAAGAACGGTTCGTGCCATATTTTTGACTTCGAATCCTGAAAGAGCATCAAAAACTACATCGAATGCTATATATTCCATTTTGATAACTGATTGATTCGATATTTAATTTTTCGGCGCAATCCTATGGCCTATATAGGCCAATAGACTATTTTCCATTTTTTGACTACTATTTATCAAATTTCAATCAGAAAATGTACGATTTCAGTCAAAATTAATAACATATCTGAAATCAGCATTAAAAACTGGTTCGACCTATATGTATCTCAAAGTTTTTTCTCAATATTTGCTTTCCCGAAAAATTCACCTGGTGTCTCCCTCAGGGTCCAGTCAAAAAATGAATTTTATTACAAAATCACTTTTATTGTTTTGTTCATTTTAGTTATAACCCTTCTTATCTTCTACTAGCTTTTTATAACCCCCAAACTTGTTTTTCACTGTTCAAATGATTTTATAATAAAATTCATTTTTTGACTAGACCCTGAGGGGGACCCCAGGTGAATTTATCGAGAAAAAAAATATTGAGAAAAAACTTTGAAATACATATAGGTCGAACCAGTTTTTAATGCTGATTTCAGATATGTTATTGATTTTGACTGAAATCGTACATTTTCTGATTGAAATTTGATAAATAGTAGTCAAAAAATGGAAAATAGTCTATTGGTCTATATAGGCCATACAGTGCGGGCCGGAAAAAGCATGCACTTTTTTATTTTTACGCATAAACGTATAATAAGGATATTCTGAAATTTTTCTCTTATATCTAATTTTGTAGAGCTTTTTTCGCTGATCATTTTGGTAAAAACATTTTTTGATTTTCACCGAGTAATGACGATGTTATAGTCAAAATACTAAGCACTGTAATATAAAGTGGAAGACAAAAGTTTAGCACACTTTTAGTATTTGGCTAATTTTTATGTTATTTCACAACATCTGAAAGGTGTTCTATATACCATTCGACGCAGAATTTAATGGGCTACATTTTGGTAATAAGCACTTATACTTTTATTTTAGTTAATTAATTAATTATTAGTTAATTATTAGTTAACAATAATTAGCAATTAATTAATAAAATTTTGATTTGTTTTTAAATTCTGACTCTTTCATATGAAAGAGCATTAAAAATTGAACAAAATTCTATAACTACTATTTGGAAAGCAACGAATTTAGTGAGGTTTTAGTGTGATTTTCAGAGTATGTTCAGTTGTAATTAGATATAGTATTCATTATTTTTAACAAATTCAACCATAAAACGACACATGAAATACGCGAAAACTGACGCATTTTAAAGAGCATCATTTGCTCTTTCAAATGACATGTCGCTGCTTTCTCTCCGATATTCTATACAAATGTTACAACGTCTTTCGAAATATAGAATGCAAAATAACAGGAAAATGGCTGGAAAGGATAGCTTCAATTAGTTCTTACAACTAAAGACATTGTAACATTTGTATAGAATATCGGAGAGAAAGCAGCGACATGTCATTTGAAAGAGCAAATGATGCTCTTTAAAATGCGTCAGTTTTCGCGTATTTCATGTGTCGTTTTATGGTTGAATTTGTTAAAAATAATGAATACTATATCTAATTACAACTGAACATACTCTGAAAATCACACTAAAACCTCACTGGGTACTTCCACGCAGCTCCGCCCACTTTTTACAGAACATCCTCC